TCACACGCTATCGCCTACGTTGGTGTTAGTCTGGTGGTTAGCAGCCGGTGGAATGGCCGTATCCAGCTACCGGCCGAAGAGTCCACTGTCTGGAATCCTTCCCCCGCATTAGTCCCGAAGAGATTGAAGACTCTTGAACCTCGGGGGGCTTCCTTCGCCAAGAGTCGCGAGATGGTGAAAGAGATTCAGGGGTCCTGTCGTGGTAGGGTGACAATGGGCCGCTCCTCAAACACAACTCCGATGCCTTGCTGTCCCTGACCAGCTTCCCACGAGGTGTGGCAGGGAACGAAATCCACCGTGATGGAGGATTGGGAAGAGTTGGGGGCCATCTCGATGATGTTCGCCTGCTTTCGGAAAAGTTACGATGGCGAATGGCACTGGCACGCGTGCATGGATGCAATGCTGAACCTTGACCTGCCATTTTGTTTCCAGAGGGCTAAATTGATGGATTCGGGCAAGAGGAAACTTTCTCTGCATTTCTAACCGTAAATCCATCTCATCGGCAAATGTCTTTCCGGGTTGGGACTTGACCATACAATACTACAGCACCCAGTCCTTCCGGACCGTAGTAGCAAGGTAGGTGTTGATTTCAAGGTTGTTGGTGCTGGGGAGGACAACGGGAAATTTCTTATGAGTGTTCTCGCGTGCATAATTGCGACTGTGCTGTGCTGGTGTTCTGCAGCCCATGCAGAAGCGAGCTCAATTCAGAATCTCACCCAACATGGCACCACTTTTTTCTCACTTGATCCTGCTTTGGCGACATGGAACCACCCCTCAATTGTCTGACAGCACTGCTCCGCCCGGCTCACACCAAACGCGTTGACTATCGACAAAAGCAGTAAGCAGAACGGCCGGCGGCCGGAGGCGGACATTGCCGGAGTAATGCAAGTTGGGCGTTGAGGCTTGAAAGTGATAAGGAGTCGTGGCTATCTGCTGCCCAAGCTGTGGAGGTTGGAATTTCACTGGGACCTTCGCACAGACAGCGTTGGGTGACTGTGCGGACATGATGGATGACATGGCCTTGGGAACACGAAAGAGCACAAAGCCACGCTCAACCGAGTTCTGTTCTGCGACTGGCTGGAGGAATTATGGGAGATGCGATGCTACACTAGTACACAAAGGTAGAAGGAGGAACAAAAGTGTCACCCCCAACGATGTGGACTGAAGCCGATGCTATTCTGCAATAGGGAACTGATTGTCTCAGGCCATCTCCACTCGTATTACGGTGTCATCGGCGTCCCATTTAGGGGAGGCCACCCGGACCAAGCCAGCCGGCCCTTTGCGCCTCTCTTCTGACACTGACAGCTGTCTACGGGCGTAGGTAGTCAACCATATGACGGGGCTTCCTCTAGGGCGTTTCTTGTGGAGGCTGTTGCTTCTACGGCTTCTTCTGATGCTTCTTCTTCATCTACCGTGTGGGATTGTGGCGTGCAATCGGCTGGTTTCTGAGACAATCATGACAGGTTACTACTGACTCTTTGGCTTCCTCTCCCTCCCTCACAAGGAGGTGATGCAGGGTCCTTGAAGATTGTCTTTGCGATTGGGGCAAGATTGCAACTTTATTTCTTCATCTTACTCTTGACAGCCACGAGCATGTCCAGCCGTGCCATACACACTATTGCCTCCAGTTCCCAATCTACCAGCGACCCGGTGGTTTCATTTACCACGCCAAGGAGCCTCAAGGACTGACAGACAGACTACTCCGTACTTGCTTGTACAGTTCGCGACTGACCCGCAGCTCTTGATCGGATAAAAAGACCTGGAATTGCGTCAGATTTTGATCCTTGTTCTTGAAGAGGAGCCCGGGTGTCGCGGATGAATGTCCGCTGGTCCCAATTTAAATCCACGCCGCCCCAACGCACAGGTAATTGGCCACCACAGACACGTAGGAACGCTCTTTTGGTGGGGGCCACGAAGACCTGATCAAGCAGACGATCTGCTTCTATCAATGCGACCTGATATCCCGTAAGGCGAAGGCGCTGCCCAACATGCTCCTGTGCTCCTCCGAGCAGAAAATCAGCTCGCAAATCTGGAGTCCAGCCCTTCTGTTACCCTTGCCCGCTGTCGTATTATAGTGTCGCTGGCGTTGTTTCGGTGACATGGCTCTCCAAATTCGGTCTCGCTACCATACTCCGTAGACAGTCTTAACAAGCAACCATCGAACTTAGCGCACAAGTGATGGGTGCTATGGTATTCATGCTGGCAATTCCTGCCAATACACGACTGCCGCGGCAGTACCCCGGGCGATCATCTCGTCGGTAAATGCTGGTGTTGAAATAGCCTGCATTCATCAAGACACTCCAAATGTGCGGCACATACCGTTCTGATCCTGAATGAGTTGGATTCGCGACCTAGCCAACAAAACGTTACCTAAAAGGGAGGGAATAGCAGCAGGGTCGTCTGCAAAGAGTAGGTGAGTCAAGTGAGTGTTACATCGGGTGGGGGGATGGATAAGACAACAGGACGATCATCACTTATCAGCACACATGAAACTCATCGACATCTGATGGAAGATATCGTTACTACTGTAAGATGGTAACATCAATTGTGATGGTTGTTGCGATAGTCTCACTGCGGTGCTTTGCAGCTCTGTTCACTCATCTTCCCCGATTGACGCGTTCCGTAGAGGATGAACACCACGATACTAGACTTGCTAGAGTAACATTGACAACTGCCACGTAAAACTTAGTTTCTGTGTAGAATGATCGTCGCCATAGACGGGAAACACCGAGCAAATTGCCATCGAATGCGTCTGGGCCATCCCCACCCAAAACCCTGGGATAAGGCACTGTTGAGATAATCCAGCCATGTTACGGAGGTAAGTACGGATACTCCATAGCCAGATTGCAATAGAGAAGCAAAGCCCCGGAGTTCTTGGGCGTATGTTCGGCGGTTGATCAGGTCGCCTACTGGAATCCCGGATCGTTTGTCACGGTCCTTTCTCTCTTTTTGGACACGATTGGCCAAGGTAGGCTTTCAAGGGTGTTGTCGTGTCTTGCCCAAAATTGTAAGGAAAGAAATTTCCGGTTAGCCTGGACCGGTATTGTGGACAACACAGCTTCTGCAAGGAATTTATCGATTTAAGTCAACACGACTTTGAACACGATTCGTAAAGGAATTGTTCCAACGCAGGACGGTGTTGCGAAGCGAGAGAGATCATTTGGGTCAGTCGCTGCCGGCCCAATATTAGGTTCTATGACTGCGATAACCAGCATTGCGATTTATCAAGAGAGGACTTTCCTGTGCGCGAGTTAAGATACCGTGTTTCGAACGTAGTTTGTCATTGACTTAGGCCGAGGTATGATACTGAATATGCGTCCCGTCACACGTGCCAGGGTGCGATATTCAGGCGTACAAGCTAGCTCAAGCTGCTACGGTGTCCACACTAAACTTGAAAGCAAGATGTTGGACCCAACAGTTCCAATGCTCATGTGCCGGACAATGCCAACCGAGCCCCGCAAATAACTCGACGGGATGAACGTATTGCCTAATCTACTACATAACCAAGAGAGACACGTGCACTCGAGCAAACAGGTACAAGAGGATGAAGCTCAAATATATCAGAACTTTAGCCATGGGGGTATTACTGCACCAAATGACAGCATTTCTGTACGTGTTTAACGACGCTGTGAGTGGGAAACATCGTTTGATGAGCGTTGAGTAAAACAACAAGATAGCCAAAGGTACTTCAATTTTTGAAAACACACTCAGCAGGTCGTTTCCATGAGTTCAGCGGTGACGGATACCGCCAAACGTTCTGGGAAAACATAGGATCGTGGCTTTCTGACAACATAGATCTGAGGGAGATATTGGCAAGAACTTCCTACGACGGTGAACTTGACTGTTCCAATGGGATGAACTCGGAAAAGAGCTTCCATGCTCGTTTTGCGATGATCACACGAATCGATAATGGCTAGCTCCCGCCTCCAAGAATCTTCATTATTAGCTACCATCATGGCAGTATACCGGTTCTTCTGAACTGATAGTTCTTATTTTTAGGTACATTGAAAGGCATCAGTACTCGCAATGTCGGCTGAGTAGTGGCAACACATAGACTGAGTGACAAATAAGTCTGACCGATAGCTTGTGATATGAATAGATTTCGTGGTGTAACCATTGATATGACACTGGATCCGACGTTAAGGCCTAGACCTGTATGGAGAAAAGTTTGGCACCTATCCATGATCTCCCACTTCTTGATGATACTTCGTATTAAAGAACATCTCTCATTCTCAACCTATAGCCACCAGATACTACTCCTTTTCCAGCGGTACTCGCTCTTGAACGCCAGCCAAACGGACTATGGGTAGCAGATATCCGCAACCCCCCCGTAAGGTCATCTGGGGCTAAACACAGTATAAAGGCATGCATACTTTACCAAAGACGACGATCATCAGCACTTCCTCCGTAAAGCTGAGCTGTGGAACTTTTCCACTAATGATATGCCTTCGGCTGGGAATTTTGGCTATTCTTGGCAGCCGCGAAACTATGGCAAGCCGACAGATGAGGACTGTAGACATAATCCACGCGGAATTTCCAATCTTGAGCCTGGTTCCACTTGGCTGGTACTACGAGCCTGTGACAAAGTAATCCAAGACTTTGCCTTCCGGTTCTTACAATTAACTGGAGATTTTGCATGAGGCGGCTTCATACTAATTTGGTTAAGCAAAACAGATATGTTCACCATCATAGATGAAAACGCTATCGGCCGTAATGAGATGGAGCACCAGGTCTATCAGAGTCGTATGAGGCGACCACGGTACCCCTCTCCAGTAGACCATTCTTCTCGCATCGCCTCTGGCGTCGGAGCATCAAAGCTAGGCTCTCCGCTGCAAAGAGAAGACGCTAGCGTGTTCCAATGTTTCTACCAGACACAAGGAGTAGATTTCGAAAAGGAGACCAGAGAAATACGAATAGTTTGCTCAAACCCCAGGTCTAATTTCTATTTAGCATATGGCCCAAAATGAAAAGCCGGAACTTGATCCAGCTGCCAAGGAGAACTACGCAATATTGAATTCGTAAGCCTACATGGAGAACGTCAGCAGGAAGCTTGTATGATTGCCCTTAAGAGACCATACCAAATCGTGCCAAGCCACTCCAGCATACTCGGATTGACTCTTGCCATAGTGTGTAAAGCCCAGCTTTTCATAATACGAAACCAGCCTGTCGTAAGTGAGAATGGAAATTCTCTCTGCCTGTGCCGTTTGCATCATGTGCTTGATGTAATATGCCATGAGGGTTTTGCCGTAACCCGACTTCTGGAAATGGGGCGCGACAGCCAGTGAATGCAAAGTGATAGTTTTGCCTTCAGGTCGATGCCCTACGCCGTATGTACCGGTCGGGTTTGTCTTCCACGCAGATGGGACAGCCATATCCTCGTCTGTGACAACAGAAGAGACTGACTTGGTGGAAATTGTGTGTGCGATAAGTTCGTCACGACTCGAAGTTTCGGATGGGCTGTAGACCGGGGTGATCCCTTGTCGGATAACGCTCTCTGGGCTGCTCTTACCCTTACGGGCAAATAATCCTAAGCAGAGTTCGGGGCAAACCGTCAGTCGATATTCAATCTGAATGCACAATCGAATTAGATATGTTCGGCGACCTTCTTTGCAAGCGCGCCCTTACCCCTGAACACTGCGGCAATATGTGTGCTAGTGGCTAGTTATGCACGAATTGGCAGGGATTTAGGGCATAAGATGTAGCTTGATGATGAATTTGTCCATAACAACGAAGGCTAATATGGGAAGCAACTTGCCTTTTCGCGAGTTGCTGCTTCGGCGGGGGGGAAGGCTGCGGCCTCCACCGCAACGCACCGATCAAGATCGTTGACTGACAGTGGTCGGATGTATAAATCCATGGTCACAATGACGGGCAAATAGTTCACAAATAATTTATGTCAAGGATTTACTGAGTAGAAAACGCACAAATATTGGTTGGAGACTGGAAAATGCTATAGTGCGAGAAAGAAAAGGCAAATGTGCAAACGTTACCTCTAGAATTTATCCGATAGGCCATGAGTCATTGAGACGAAGCCGGAGGTCGGATTACAGCTCCCGGCCCTGCAGGTCACCCTTCCAAAACCAGCCTTAGTTATGAAATTGGCCTTGTCTGCAGAAACGGTTATCCCGGAATCGAAGAGAGTGACACTCTGGTTCGATTTGCGTGAGACATCCAAAACAGAAAATACCACAGCACTGAAGCAACCATACTAGTCTGGCAGAGAGCCTTAGCGGTGAGCGTCTAGATCCGTCATAGGCAAGAATTCTGCCACCTATGAAACTTCAATCTCAAGACTCAATCATGATCGGCGCTGGGAGCGTTGCAAGATCCCCAATTGAACTGTGCCAGATCTTGCTAAAATGTTTTCTTCACGAATGAATCCTCTCACAAGATTGAACATGCGTCCTTGCACAGTCATTGGGCTGCCAGCCCTGAAAGCTGGCTTGTTTAGCCTAAACCCCCCACAAGGTGGTCCATGTCCTGCAATCGCTCCCTGATTTCATTTCAACTTTGACCGTCACGGGTTTGGACTTCCCTGCCGATTCAAAGCTCAGTGGTCGCGTTCTCGACGATCAATCCTCCCATCGTTAATGTTGTTCCCTACCAGATGGACACCGTGCAGGTACCTATGCACCGGATTTTTCATATTCATGTGGTACGTTGTGAAGTGACATTAGACTCTCCGTGCCAGATGGCTCCTTTCTGCCTCGATGCCTGTTCAAGCTCGCCTGGGCCACTTTTCCCTCGGCCATTATGCATATCCGAGAGGTTGTACCCATCAAGCCATAGTCAACTGTGGCTTGGAGTTAGGTGCTAGTCATGACGCGCGCCGCAGCCTTAGCGAGATGTCTAGTAATTCGTCGTAGCTGGTCTTCCTCGTTGACTCACGTAGAACTACCAAGCTGTCGCAACTACTACCGGGCCTAGACGGTATCCGTCTTCTGTATCTGAATGGAGCTGCAAATGAACTATCCAGAAAGCTTATTTCTTTCCTGTAAGTCACATCTAGTAGCTTAGCCAATCAATAGAGGCTATTGTGAAGCAGGACGGATTCCGAAAATGCCGTTAGTAATTATCCAGCCCGTGCCGATCGTAGATGTCTGCCGCACCGGAGCTAGAGACGGCAAATGTAACCCGATCCGTGTTCGTATCGGGCTTACTAAGGTTCCGGTACGGTGTTTCAGTCCACGTCTACGGATACAAGCGTGGGTAGCTCCATCGGACTGCTCCGTCAATCTTGAGAAGGAGTCTTGTTACTTTTCAGGAACATGACCAGATTAGTATTTAAGGAGGTGAATGCTGCACCTGAGTTGATGGGATGAACTAATGATATGCAATCATAACAGGCAAATCGACCTTTCCCTTCCAATCGCCAGCAGCCATAAGCATGGACGCCAGGACTACTCAAGCTGCCTCAATGGCTGCGAACTCTGCTACTGTCGGGGTGCCTGTTACTGAGACGCTGTTTTTGAGACCTCTCTTCATGTCCATGTTCTTCATACTTCTCTGCGTAACCATTCCCGTCCTGAATAGATCTAAACTCGCGAAGTTTCCGGATGTCACCGTCTCTACCTCCATCTTCGACTTTGGTAATTCAAAGGCCAGAAGACAATTCGTATTTGACTCAGTCAAACTCATCAAAGACGGTTTTTCTAAGGTAAGTGGCTCATGAATTCCGTCTCAACTTGACTTTCACTCATTCGTGCAGGTCGGCAATACTACACCTTTTCGCATCATCGCCGATGTAGGCGAGATGGTTATCCTTCCCCCAGAATTTGTCAATGGCATTCGCAACGAAGCCGACCTCGATTTTATGGAATTTGTCAACCAGGTTTGAGCAATCGCATCTGTTTGGTAACTGGCTGGTTCACTTACGAACCTTGCAGCAATTTCTTTCAGATATTCCTGGGTTTGAGATTTTCAAGACGGGATTCCTGACTTCCCTGGTCACTGATGTTACCAGAGTCAAGATCACACAATCTCTCGGTCCGTGAACTATCTCGTATTCCGAAATTTACAAGACTCAATATGTCCTGACACAATTTCTTAGGGAAGGTAACTGGTCCTCTAGCTGACGAGTGCGACCAAGCATGCCGAGAAATCTTCGGGGAATCCAAAGGTAAAGTAACTTTGAAAGTTTGGAATGGCCCGGTGTCGCTTGAGTAATGCAACTGACACACTGCAGAACAGAAGGAGACTGTACTCAAGTCCGCACTTTTGGATCTTGTTGCGCGCATATCATCTCGTGTGTTTCTCGGTGACGTGGGCTGCCGCAATCCGGCTTGGCTCAACATTACCAAGGAATTCACCGTGAACAGCTTCATGGCTTGTGTTGAGCTCCGGAAATACCCTCCTGGAATTCGTCACGTTGTTCATTGGTTTTTGCCAGAGTGCAAGACTGTACGCGCACAGGGACAAACGGCACGCAATATCATCAATGATATTTTAAGGGCGCGCCAACTGGAAGATCAACAAAGACTTGCTAGGGGCTTGAAGCCGGAGGTACGAAACGATGCGATCGAATGGTTCGAACAGATGGCCAAGGGTCAGAGCTATGACGTAGGCCGGGCACAAATTGCCCTCGCCATGGCTGCTGTCCATACCACAACCGACCTCCTCGCTCAGACCCTGTTCGATATCATTGGCCATCCACAGATTATCCCAGCCCTCCGACAGGAGATTGTCACAGTCATCAGTCAAGACGGATGGGAGAAGACAGCGCTCTATAAGCTGAGGCTGATGGACAGCGTGATCAAGGAAAGCCAACGCATCAAACCACCGAACGTGGTGAGCATGAACAGGCTGGCATTGAACGATGTTACGCTTCCCGATGGCTCAATCCTTCCCGCGGGATCCAAGATGGGAGTGTCTGCGCACTCTATGTGGGACCCTTCTGTTCATCCAGATCCTAAATCCTGGGATGGGTATCGATGGCTTCGAAAGCGCCAACAGGTGGGACAAGAGAACCTGCACCAGCTTGCCACAACATCCCCACAACACATCGCTTTCGGGCATGGAAAGCACTCATGTCCTGGACGATTTTTTGCTGCTAATGAGATCAAGATTGCTTTATGCTTCTTGATCATGAACTATGATTTCGAGTTGGTGCCAGGTGCGAACCCTGAGCCTGTGCTATCAGGCATTCAACTCGACTCTAGTCCAACTGCAAAAGTGCAAGTTAGGCGACGCGATCCCGAATTGGATCTATTATCTATGTTGAAGAGAAGTCGTGACTAAGAGCTTATCTGTTTCGCGCGGGGCCTAGCTACCTTATTACACAGAATGTGTTCCTAGACAATATTCAATCAGTCACGATCCACCATAGCTACTTCCGTTATTTTTGTTCATGCAACATGGCCTGCATTGTGTCAAGATAGCATTCTAACTAGCTCCAATACCATTTCTGCGAATAAATTTGCGAATGTTTATTTTGAGATATTAGTTCGTTGCCAGAGTGTTCAAGCCAAGGATATACATGATTTTATAGCTAAACATAGTTAATCTATGAATCAACGTACTTTTGTTTAGCAACAATAAGCCTTATATTTCCTGAATCTGATGCTGCTCTTGCACAACCCGAGCGATAAAATCTGCCATCATCATTTCAATGGCAAGCTTGATGCTGTAGACAGTAGGGTGGATAGAAGCGTATAAATAGGGGTTCGATAGAAACACCACAACGATTAGTGAAATCTTCAGGGCTAGAGTCAGTCTTGTATAAATTTCTCGGAAACGGCTAAAATGGCAAGTCACTCTGTAACCTACATCCATAGATAGCGAAACTACTATAGCAGCAATTGTAAGAAAAAATAGTAATCGATACTTGACTAGGCCGTTATCGATTAGTTCGCGTTGAAGCTTCCGCAAGAACACTGAGTTCAACGAAAGGTCAATTAGCAAACTGAGAATCTTGTCGATGGGCGAGTAGAATCTCTGGATACGTAAACCCAGTTTGGGCCGGGTCGCTTGCATCGGAAACATTACGCTCATAACAAAGATGTTCATAATGCCGACGATTGTAAATAGCGTGATTTTCATGATCTTGGTCTTCCTCTTATTCGCGATGATGAGTCCCAGTCGGTTTGCGATAATTTGAGGTGCACATTGCGTCTGGATTATCCACAAGACTGTCCCTGCGCCCGAAAAGCCAAGACTATCACGTTAAACAGGCTCCTGATAGGTAGGGTGGGCAATCATCATCTTCTTACCTTCCGGCAACGTCTCCACGGATATAGAGCCAGTCAATAACAGCTTGTGAAATGTTGGCAAGGAGCAAGCCCACAATCCTTGAATAAGTATGTTATTATGTGAAAAATGGATATGCATATTGCTGAAAAGGAAATAATGACTTACATCCAACTGTACAGACTGGTAAAGGACCTTATTTTTGAGTAAATTTGCAGGGTTTGTTCTATCACCTTTCCGGCATTAAGTATCGTCAGGCCGATGACTGTGCCGAGCCAGATGCTGCTGGTGATTTCAAGGGAGCAGTCCATGGTATTCCGGGCTCGTTCTGCTATAATGACTGTAGGAAGATAGGCAAGACTCAATCGTTTCGAGTTCCGAGAGAAGTCTGGAACTCAGTGTCTCTGTCTTGTGTTATTCGCAGAGAGCAAGGAATAACCTAGCTGAGTGCATGGACATTGTCAATCATTTATCATTTCTCTCAAAATCACTGCATTTCATACTCAGGATGCCATCGGCTGTATTCATCAAGACTGTGTCGGATGGCTCCGTTGGAGTTCAATATGGCTTGGCCGTAAGGGGGACCATCGTGGTCATTATCAACCAATGGCCAATCTTCCTGATGGGACTTTTCTCGTGAATCGGGTTTGCTTTCTTCTTCACTCGATTTAGACGAAATTAGTGCGATAGCTTAGCTCGAGATGAAGCCGAACCGAGTTTGATTGATTGGAAAGGGAGGTTACGTGGCGTGTGTGGCTAAATCGCAGCACTTCATCCTATCTGTTTATGCGTCATAAACCCGCCTCTTTGCTGAATACTCTAGCACTCTGTCTCACTACTGATGAACTCGCCATGCCCCATCGGATTGCGACATACCTCCCTTGTATAAGTAGTCAGCCCCCTCCTTACACTTCCACTCAAGTACTAATTTGGACATAAGGACTTCTAATCCCCCGCCCCTGGCTTTCGCTGCTAGCCGAATTTCATTCCCAGGGGTTCGGCGTTGGGAGCCTCGATGTTCTGGTTTAAGTTATTCTTGCCGGCACTACGAAAATTGAAAAATGCTCGAAATCCCTTGACTTAGTTGGCATCCCAACGCCGTCAGTAATATCCTTGCGCCTTTTGTTGGTGCCCTTGATGTTACTTATGCTGAATGGAGATCGATCGATTGGTTTCAATCTACCGATTCTCGTGACGGGCATCCCTTTGCCGTTTTTCTTTCTCAGTTTAGGGCTAATCACACTCGATTCTTCCCTTTTCAGTAGAATTGAACGGCTGTACTCAATTATGTCACGGAACAGGAGTCGTATCAGCATTCGTCAGGCATTCTGCCATGTGCTTGTTTACGTGAATCTGCCATCCGTCCAGTATATAGACTGATCTATTTTCTTCGTTCTAGATGGGTTAGTTCAAGTTACTTTCCACTCACTTCATATGCCTATTGCTGTGTGCCGGAACTCGTGGCAGATTGATATGGGGCTTGTCATCTCTGAGATCACGTTGTTTGTGTTGCTACTCAGTTGGGCTGGATGCTTGTTTTCATTGGCGTCGTGGTGAACCTTGCTATTTGTAGTTTTAGGCGTTGCGGCGCTCGTCACTTTCGTTTTTTATGATGCAAAATTTGCATTTCCGATCGTATCTCATCGTCTCTTCTTCTCGAAGCCCACAAACACGTCATCAGTGGTGGGCTTTATCTGTGAAGCCATTCTTGTTGCAATACTATACTACCTTGCTTGGTTTTAGTTTATATTACAAAGCGAGGATCCAAGTGGAAGACATGTACAGTAGAAAGTGGCTTGATTCTTCTAAGTGAGGGACCCTCAAGGGGTCGTATCTAAATACCGTACGAAGCGGGCAGTCGTCTCGTAGTAAGCGGCCTCGTACGGCAGTAATTAGGCAGCGCCACGTGTGGCGTTGCGACAGTTTATTAAGCTGTTTACTAGAAAATCGCGACCAGATTAGTTATGTCTCTTCTACCTACTAGCATCGTTGGTGTATAAACTCCCGTCATATCTGTGATGATGGTTCCCTTTTTTGCAGGTTGCATATAGCTCTTGAGACTATCTTGGGTCTATTGAAATCCTAGAACTGCAATATATGGCTCTTTCCGGTGTGAATTCACAGTCTTGGATGCTTGTTTTCGTACAGTTATATGGGCAACAAGCGTTGCGTTACGTATACTGAACCTTCTGCCCATGCAAACCAACGTCAAGAACATTGCAGACACCGGTCTTGATATAAGGCAGTTCCTTACCATTCGCGCGTTTGTAGGCCTGATCGGTCTAACGATGCAATTTTAGATCTTGAACACTGTGATCACAAGATCCATAGGTTACGTTGAGGTGCGACATTAGTCCTCTCGCAGCCCCCGACGGGGCCTCTAACGTTGTCTCTTTGAACAAAGAACTTAGAACGATAGACGTTTCTCAGCAGACTTTTGATCAAGTCTTTAGTGTCTATCTCAGGTGCTTTCAGACTAAGTTTCATACTATAGCGGGCTTCGGGGGTTTGGGACCGCTGACCACAGTGTTTGAGTGAATCGACTTGAGAGGCCAGATTGGTGGTAGTCAATGGGTTAAATATTCGGCAGTGATGTTTACTGATACATCGTTTGATCAAATCAATCGAAAGAAAAAGAATTGATATCTGAGATAATATGCTTCTCGAACGCCGCGGCCATTTCTCAATAGCGACATGAGGTAGTGCTAACCCAGTCTACAATCTCGACGATACCTGTATGCTGCAAACTTAGTTCGGTTTATGTCGGCATTTGAGATACCGTACATAGGCCCATCTACTTCTCTAGGTTCGTGGTTTCTTTAGCTAATAATCGCACTCGACGCATCTTCTGTACATAATCAGTGCCTGCGTAAAGAGATGCATGCCCAGAATATAGCGTTAGGGTTTGACCGCAAGGAATAACTAGACGATAAGGTGATTCTAGACTATGGTGTCGAGCAAACCTAAGCTAGGTTCTTAGCAGAATTATGCGAGCTCGATGTTTCTAACTATCAGTCCAAATGGGATCCCTGAGAAATGCTTTCACCTTCGACGTTTGCAAGCATCTTTCGGGTCGCATGATCCACAGTTCACAGCATCTAAGACAAGCTGAAACTTCATCTCATCGAAGAACTTGAGAACATAACTCATAGCCTTTGTAAGCTCATCTCAGCCACTTGTTCCTCAACCCTTGCCTATCTCTGAACCGTCGTGATCTTATCGTAGCGTTTTCCTTGTTACTTCAATGTTGTAAGTTTACGTCCTCGTCCAAACGATCTTTGAATATAGAGACAGTTTTTAAACTTGGAGACCCTTTCTGGCCGGAACTTTGAGTGCCGCAGAACCTACGCAGTGCCAAAGAAGGAAGAGGCTTCACATTTGATATTGCAAGAATCTACTGGGTCTGGTAGGAGATGGGATAGATTAAGTCAAACCCCCCACTTCCCGGCACCCCCCTGTTTCTGGCACCCACAAAAACGCGAAAATCCACCACAACGCAATGCCCACCCCCAACCTCCTTTTATCACAACATTTTCAATTCGAGTCCAAATGGGCTCATTTTTTGCACATACCTTCTTCTATATCTAATGCCTCAATATACCGAAGATCAGCTTCGTCAGGCTCGAGGACATCTCAAACGGCAAGAGTCAAAGAGAGCCTCATTGGGTATGGGATACCACGATCAACCTCCAACTACGTCTCCAAGGTGGTCAGACTAGGAAAGTGGCTTTTGCTGACTGGCAGAGGCTGTCTCCTGACCAGGAGAGTAAGCTGGCACAATGGGTTCGCATTCAGGCTTCGCTGGGCCTCGCACCAACGCACCAACAGGTGAAGGAATTCGCAGAGCGAGTTCTGGCTGCTGCTGGGGATACCAAACCATTAGAAAAGGCTGGATCTATGCCTTCGTGAGAAGGAACCCTATCATTAAGGTTCAGAGAAGTCGTTCCATCGATTCTAGACGCGTTAATGGGGCATCTACTGAGGTCATTAGGAACTGGTTTAAGTTCCTTGCTATCCCTGAGATCAAGGACATCAAACCAGCCAACAGATATAATATGGATGAGACTGGCATCCTCGAGGGTCAGGGAGCTAATGGGTTAGTGCTGGGCATGGCTGAGACGACGTCTGTTCGCAAGAAACAACCTGGGTCGAGGGCATGGGTCTCTATCATTGAGTGTATCTCAGCCTTGGGTAGGGCACTTCGTCCTCTTATCATTTTCAAGGGAAGACGGTCCAACAACAGTGGTTTCCATTACATCTGGTTCCATACGATGGGTGGGAGTTTACAGCACAGATAATGGCTGGACTACAGACTTAACTGCCATTGAATGGTTAGAGAAGGTGTTTATCCCACAGACTATGCCCGAGGCTGAGGGCGAGGCTCGACTGTTGATTGTGGATGGGCATGGGAGTCATACGACGACAGACTTCATGTGGAATTGCTATATTAACAATATCCATTTACTGTTCTTACCACCACACCTCTCATGTCCTCCAGCCACTTGACCAGTCTGTCTTCAGCCCTGTTAAGTCAGCCTATCGGAAGGAGCTCGGTTACTTGTCTCAATGGAACGACTCTACCATTATAGGTAAAAGGAACTTCCTGGACTGTTACCAGAAGGCTCGACTTGCTGGTCTATCAGTCTCGAACATCAGAAGTGGTTGGAAGTGGACTGGTCTACACCCTGTAGCGATGGTTAAGCCCCTGATGAACCCTATGGTATTACCTGAGCCTTCTGCTAAGCCCACCACACCCAAACCAACCAGTCGGGGCAAAAAGCGATGCCATAATGGTCAACAAACTACCCCTGTTGAGCCATGGATTCTGCTTCCTCTGCAGTGGTCTGGTCGACACCCAGGAAGCTGGCAGAGCTCAGCGGTCAACTGCACTTATACACCCAACTCGACAATGATACCAGCACTCAACGGCTGCTGTTCAGGAAGGTGAAAAAAGGCTTCACAGAGCAGGCCTGGCAACTGGCAGCTGCCCAGCAGCAGCTGGCTCACCTGAGGGCTCAAGTTACCAACGCTGCAGTTAGGAAGAGGAAGACTGTTCAGATCGATCCCAACACGAAGTTTGCGAACATCAGGGATATCCATCGGGCTCAAATCGAAGCGGGTGAAAAGGAGGTTATTACGGCTGAATCCAGCGACTCTGAATGCCCTAGTGAGGCTGGCAGTTGTATTGTAGTGGGTGTGGTTGAGGATCAATAGTTAATAGTAATGAGGAGGTTGGGTTGTGATCCCATCGTTTTTGTGGGTGCCAGAAACAGGGGGGTGCCAGGAAGTGGGGGGTTTGACTTATGGAGAAGAACTTATGAAGTTCGCAGCTGCCATCAGAATCACAATAGGGGTGGACACGAGACAAAGAGAGTGTAGTGTGTATTATCTAGGTACGCTTCTACGGAGTAAGATATCCAACATACAGATGCAAGCCACCATGTACCAGATACGTCTAAGACATCCTGCAACGCTTTCATATAGACATGACAGCACTTCAATCTTTGGGGATGAAGCGGACTAACCTAGACATCACCGCCCTTGAAGTGTTCCGACACTGAATCCTGCTGTGATTAATGCATGTACCATCCATTGTTAAATTGACATGCATATCGCCCTGTCCTGCCTTTTCACAGACCGGAAAACCAGTTGTGCCATGTGCTATGGTCCCTTCGGATTACCGGAAAAGGTGAGACTCGTCATATTCCAGGTGGTCTGAGGAGCGACCTCTAAGGCGGAGCTCGTCTATCCCTCTTGATCTTAGCTTCCGGGTGGGATGCTCCTCTCTCGTACGTTGGCTAAGAAGAAGGTAAGAAGTTTTAGCGAAGACTTCTCCGTGCGCCCTCTGATTTTCCTTTAGCCCATTAGCCAAGGCGAAATTTCCCCCGAAGTGGATATCGCAAACACGTTCCTCGATCGTCGGCCCGATGACCACTCACTTTATTCACTAAACCGCACGAAGCCCTGCCAGCTTTTTTCTTTTCCCTTAGTGCCCAATATCACCTTGGCTATGTCGACCAGTACGCTAACGTTTGTCCAGTCTTTCAAGGAATCAAGGATAGCTTCCTCCGCCATTTCCCCATGACTAAAATCGCGGGGAGGGCGAGTCAAGACAACGCTGGGAATGCCTTGTGGCCTGTTCTCCGTGGGGTAAAAGCATCTTTCCTTGGAGAGAAGCATTTTGGCTCGTGGCCTTAAGTGGAGACAACTCTCGTGAAAGCGGTTTCTCGGCGATTAGGCTTTTGTATATATATCGCGTTGGTAGCTGCCTGTGGTGATAATAAATGTCATATTATCGGATGCCTCCTTTTCTGGTACAATAATACCATGGCGATTCGAAGCGCCTTCCTGACGACCCTTGTCGGTGTCGCCCAGTTCACCCGGCATACACTTGGCCAATCAACCATTTCTTCTCAACCTGTCCATGTTCCAACTGGAACACCTATCGTTGGCGATTACAATGGCGCTTACCGCCCTCAAGTGCACTTTTCTCCCCCTCAACATTTCATGAACGACCCCAACGGCATGTTCCGAGACGCCGATGGCGTTTGGCATCTGTATTACCAGTACAATCCTACGGGCGCTGTTGCAGGCAACCAGCATTGGGGACATGCCACGTCCAAAGACTTGTACCATTGGTCAAATCAGCCGATTGCTCTCTTCCCCCCCGAAGAAAATGTCTTCATCTACTCTGGAAGTGCTGTTGTTGATGTGAACAATACATCTGGCTTCTTCCCAAACCAGGACAACGGTGTTGTTGCAATCTATGTGAGTTTACTCCAATCCGGCTTTGGATACCACCATGGCTAATGTAACAAGACTCTGGCATCGCCGACGCTGGAGACTCAGGGTATCGCTTATTCCAGAGATGGAGGGTACACCTTCACCCCATACGCAAACAACCCCGTCATCAATAGTACAAGTGCGCAATTCCGCGATCCCAAAGTCGTCCGCTACAATGACTCGTGGGTCATGGTGGTTGCCTATCCACATGACTTCGCCATCGGTATCTTCACGTCACCCAATCTGAAAGATTGGACAGCAACTAGCAACTTCTCTCATCATGGACTTCTCGGTCTGCAGTATGAGTGTCCAAACCTGATTTCTATGCCTTACATAGACGCAGAGGGCAAGAGGCAGGACGACATGTGGCTTATGGCCATCAGCATAAACCCAGGTGCGCCTCTAGGAGGCTCTATCACGGAGTATCATCCTGGCACTTTCAACGGCACTCACTTTGAGGCTGTTGACGCGGCTGCGAGAATTGCAGACTTTGGAAAGGATAACTATGCTGGGCAATGGTTCTACGGCCTTCCGGCCGAGGAATTCCCGGTGTCAATCGCATGGGCATCAAATTGGCAATATGCTCAAACGGTTCCGACTGACAAGGAAAGCTGGCGAAGCATCATGAGTCTTCCGCGTCAGAACTATCTGACTAAGGCGAAGCGAGTGGGATGGAAGTTGGTCTCGGCCCCGTACAACTTGGAGCCTGTGCTAGGTCGTGAACTAGCTTCCAACAACAGCATGGGTAACGGAACACTGATCGTGGACTATGCCGATGTGGAATCCAACGCACTTTACTGGGAGGTTAATGTGACAGGCATTCCAGAGAAAGATATCTCGGCAACTGCTTCTTTGAACTTTACGTTCTCGAGTCCTGCTACCGGCGAGTACATCAACGGGGGATACTTCTTCGGCGGGGATCCCGTGTTTTTTGTCAACCGCAATGGCGCCCGAGGCTTTGACAATATCTTTTTCACAGAAAGAACCTCCATTAGTAGCTTGACGACGGAACAAAACTCGTGGGGTCTCAGTGGAGTGATCGATAGGTCAATTCTGGAGGTCTTCATTAACGGTGGCATCGACAGCGCGACTAACACGTTCTTTACGACTCAGCCTTTGTCGCGCTTTGTGATGAGTACCACAGACCTACCTAGTAGCATGAGAGTGAGCGTCAAGGTAAATGGGTTGGAAAGCACGTGGAAATAGACGGAGCAGTGGCACTATTGTAATGTATACTATCCTCGATAGCCGACGAAGGCGCCCTGACCTTTACGGGTGAAACAGGCGTTAAACAAACAATGCAAGAAACAATATCGTAATGTATGCCAGGAGTAGTTATCTAGTAAAATATAGTTGGACAAGCAGAATATCCACGCCTCCCATTGTCATTGTCGGGCATCATTTGGTAATGCAGTCTGCTGAAGACTTCACTTCCGTCGGCTTATATTCATGAAAACTTCGCTCTGATACGCGAACCAATACGCCTTGATTCTCCATGGAGTATCCGTATTGACAAGCTTAAATTCGAAGACGCGTACGAACTGGGCCACGAACTTGTGCAGCTCAACCTATAGAAAAGCATAGCTGGTCAGTTTTACCTCCCCTCAAGGCTCGTGGTTCCGTCCGACTTACCAGCGCAATATTCCTTCCGATACACATTCTCGGTCCGCTACCGCCGAACGTCATCGTACTACGATCAAAGTATCTCGTCTTGTCTTCGTTTTCGAGCCATCGGCCCGGGCGGAACTCGTTTGCATCTGAACCCCATATTTCCTGATCGCGATTTTGAGCTATAGGGCTGATCCCAATCGTTGTGTTCACTGGGATCTTGATACCCCTAACCTTAAAGTCAGGTGGTGTTTGTCGTGGGAGCTGAAAGACGATGGACGGTAGTAGTCGAATGGCCTCCTTGATGACTGCTTGCAGGTAGGGCAGCTTTTGGGTTTCCAGGTAAGAAATGGGTGTTTTCAAATTATTGATATTATAAAAGTTGTCAATTTCCTCTCTCAGCTTAGCCAGCACTTCTGGATTTGTTGCCAAGTAGTAGAGGCAGGTTCGCATGCCAATAGAGGTTGTGTCTGCTCCTGCCCCACTAAACTTTCTCTTAGTAGCTATGCGTCATGACGAGGAGATCAGGCTTACACTAAATTCATCGCCTCCACCAAGATTTCAAGGAAGGAAGCTGGTTTCCCTTCGAGATCCTTCATTCTGCAGAAATGTGCTAGAAGGTCTTCTCGTCCGGTCATCTCAGGGTTGTCTAGTCGCTTCTGGACTTTCATCGCGGACCAATTGCGGAAAGCTACCAGGGGTTGGTCTGCATTGAAGAATCCAGTAATCATCTGAGCACCACGACTTGTAACAAGCCATAACCACCGAGGGAGGTGGCCGACGGATGACAAAAGCTTGAAAACATTGAATATGGTTTTTCGAAGTTCACCGACGTCCTTTTCCTCCTGAAGATGGCCAAATTGGGAACCATAGCCGAGTTCACCAACTACATCAAATGCAAACGCATTAGTCCATACAGCCATGTCAACGATTTCGCCAGCTTGGGCGTATTTCCCGAGCTTTCGGATTAGTAAATCGAGGCAGGCCTGAATATGGACCTCGTATTTGAGGACTGAAGACATTGAGTAAGCACTCGCCAGGCGCTTTCTTAGGAAGCTATGGTGCTTCTTGTCCAATTCCGAGAATAGTTGAGGTGCTGTATTGGGAGGATCCCAAATGGAGTACCAATCCGTTTTGGTGGCATTGTGACCGTGGCCGTACAAGTTTTTCATGGCGTACTCGTCCACTACAGAAACTTCGTTCGGTGCAATTCGTACCACTCTTCCGTATTTGTTATGGATGGAGAGTATGTCATCATGCCAGTTGCCTTGAATGTATTTTGTTGTGCGCCAGAGACCTGTTAATCTGGCTGGCAGAGGGCCCGGCAAATGGGAGAGAGGATGCAAAAAAAGTCTGTAGAATAAGGTGGCAATGATAGCCATGGCGCTGGCAAAAATGCAGGACAATATCGCGGGCATGACATCCATCTCTCGTTGTACGCTTAGCCAGTCAAACCAAGTGGAGTGTAGTGTCATGTTGAGAAGGAGGACCGTGGTCATGAGCCGGGCGCCTGCGTGCAAAGTATTGATGTTCTACAGAATCATCAAATACCCCCAAGGGATTGCAGCTAATGAAATATCTGGGGTAGCATCTCGTTCCCTTTTTTCTCTTCGAACTAATAGCCAACATTCGGGCCAGAGCATTGAATGTGCCCGCGATACGGATGTGGGGCCTTGTCATGCACCCTTGATCTGTTGGTTAGGTATGTAATTAACTAACCCGGAGGTATTGGGTACGACGAACGGTGCCTAACTGAGTACTCTACCTTTTACCAAAGACAATGCAATTGACTTTTACCTTAGTCAGAAGTTCAACTGACAACTACATCACACTCAACATGAGCAACATGGCTCGCACATAGAAGTCCCCCGATGAGGGGAACGAGTGGGGACGGGTGGGGCTCGCTCAAGTCTGGTTAGAAGTTCGAATGGAGCTTTGAATTGAGTGTGGCTAGGAGTGTGCGGAGTGAGGATACGGATTCGGCGGATTGCGGGGAACGTCGTGTGGGGTCTGTGGGTAATTCCTGTGAGAAGGAGTTTCTAGTTGTTAGTACCAGATTAGCATTATTACTCGTTTCCGAACGAGAGGTTAGACATTGCGAAAAGATTTTTTCTAGGTTGCTTCGATCAGATGGCAGTCTCTATAGTCAGAGCTCATTTTCCTACCGTCGGCAGTCTTGAAGCTACAGTCAGTTGCAAATTATTTACGCCATTCAGCATGATATCGCAAAAAGCCCTATTTGTGTCTTTAATAGGACTAGCTACTGTTCTTGCACTATGGCTGCTGAGAGCATCTCGGCGTGACAAAGGGTTCAAGCTCCCCCCACAAGTCCCTGGCATTCCGGTGTTCGGCAACACATTTCAAATTCCCGCCCTGCAACAGGGCCCTTGGGCTAAGAAGCTAGCTGAAAAATATGGCGAAATGTGAGTCGTGTATCGTGTTAAGCTGGCTTGGCTATGATTTCTACTTCAAGGCTGACTCGCTTGTTTATAGGTTCACTTGCAAGTTTGGCGGCTCGACATGGGTTTTCTTGAACTCTTCCCGGGTTGTCAATGATTTGCTTGAGCGCAGAGCTGCCATTTATTCGTCGAGGCCACCGTTTCCCATGACTCAAGGCATTATGTCAGGCGATTCACGTATCGTCCTCATGCCTTACAATGAAAGATGGCGCATGCTGCGTAAAATTATGCACCAAATCTTGAGCTCTAGGCAGCAAGATATCTTCAAACCTTTCCAAGATCTCGAATCAAAGAACCTCTGCTGGGATTATCTGCAGACACCCAGCAGATGGTGGTCAGCCAATGCTCGCTATGCCAATTCTGTCATAATGAGCGTCGTCTTCGGCCGTCGGTCAACACTCGATGACCCAGATGTGGTTGAACTGTTCGAAACTCTTGAACTATTCTTAGAGAATCAACAACCAGGCGTTAACATTGTTGATGCATTTCCAGTACTCGAGAAGATTCCCAGGGTCCTCCAATGGTGGCGGCCCCGGGGAGAAAGAGTGTTTCACAAGACCGCGAAGTACGTGTCCAATCGTCAACTCTCATTATTCACTCGAGTGACTAACATGTGCTTTTCTAGGGTTTACAAACGCGAGATAGCCAAGATGGAAGAACAAATGGCCAACGGAACCCAGCGAGAATGCTTCGGTACCGACTTTCTCAACACCGAGGAGGTCAAGACAATGACGGAGGTGCAAAAGCTCTTTGTTTTCGGTACACTAATGGAAGCTGGAAGCGACACATCTCGAGTCACCCTTGGCCAAATAATCGCAGGCGCAGCCACTTACCCTGACTGGGTGATACGGGCGCGTGCACAACTGGATGAAGTTTGTGGCTCCAATGCAGAACGTTTGCCTGTGTGGGAGGATAGGGAAAGACTCAATTATATATCGGCCGTGGTTAAAGAAGGTTTCCGCTGGCGACCAAACATTGCAGAGATTGGCGCACCAACCATGCTGATCAAGGATGACAAGTATGAAGATTACCATTTTCCCGCCGGCACAATCTTCACTTGGAATGCCTGGGCAATTGCTCTGAGCCCCGAGGAATACGATCGACCGGAAGAATTTTGGCCAGAGAGATTTCTCGATGGTAACGAAGAAAACGCTTTAAAAGGGCATTGGGCATTTGGTCCAGGTAAGCTTTCCCCCAGTCGACACGAGACATTAGCAGGGGAATGATACTTGTTCAGGCCGCCGAGTATGTGTCGGATGGAAAGTGGGAGAGATGAATGTCTGGATCGCCATTGCACGACTCTTGTATTGTTTTGATTTTGAGCAACTACCGGGGAAACCGATAGACACGATGAGGATCCCCCAGATTACCAAACACACCGCACCTTTTGACGTCAAGGTAAGTCCTCGGAGTGAGGAGCACGCGGCTCTCATCCGCAGAGATTGCGCGGATGCAGTAGCTGCGAGGTACTAAGGTTGCAGAGGCGCAATTGGGAGAGGCAGATTCTACATAGCACAAGCGGCTTCCTGCTTGCCGGAGCCTCTGCTCTACCTCAATACAAGGTTTCTTTCTCATCGCATAGCAAGCACGTAATTAAAATTATTTCCTCCATATGAATTGAGTTTTGATTCACAAGCAGAAGTCGAGTAGTTTAGGTGTATCTCCCTCGCAACCTCCAGCTATCGGGTGCTTTCGTTACTAGAACTACTGAAAACTTTACAAGGTTCTAAGTCATGAACAAAGCCCATGTGATCATGTATGTTATATAGGCCAAGATACTCGCGCCGCACAGTTTACCAAGGCATAGACTGACATACGTGAGGAGGAATATAATATTCAAGATATACGAACCATGGCCCCATGATTCTTATCCCATAGACTGGGCTCATCAGACCAGACTAAAATAACTTCAACGGGGACTCTTGAACTAAGGCTCGATCGCTAGCGTGACTTTTGTAATGACAATGATGAACTGAAGCCGTAAAAGTTGTGACAGCATCAAGTAAGTAATGTTCGAGACCCATATTGATCACATAGGGACAATGACATGGCGTATTGCATGTAATAGCTCAAGTTGAGGTTCCTATGCCAGCTTTCTTAGCTAGACAGGCTGAAGTGGGCCATGATATCTCCCTGTAGCATGATATCAATCAAGAGTCGGCGAGAATCCTACGCTGTTCTCTTCATTTCTCTTTTATTCACATCGACCTTGCTAATCGAGCAAACGAGTCATTCCTTTGAGATCTGGTTATATAAAATTAAGTTACCCGCGAGCACTACCTCGTGGGTACAGAGAGATGCTAGCTAGAGAGGTCTCTCATCGTTGGAAGACCACGAGCCGAGTATTCAAGTGCATCCGCTGTTGCGCTAATCCTTTCGCCGATTACTTCGATACCTCCAGAATCACTACCAGAGCCTACAATGCGTTTTCGTATTCAGGAACCGCGGCAAGCGATTTTCGAGACATAATTCATACTCAATATCAATCTAGCTCCGTCTGTATAGGAGAATCCGAGTAGAGAGTTGGCGCAGAATAGCAACATACCTCGATTTAGTAGTATGGTAATCTTTAGTAATAAGTAGTTAACTGTCATGATTTAATATGAAGCGAAACTCCGGGAAACAGGTATGTTACAGTAAGCTTATAACGGAGGTCTCGTGGAGCATAAGGGATGCGAGCATGCGAGCAAAGCGAACCTCACATTAGGTACCAAGTTGAATGAATCACTATTTCTTAGAAAAATCAAAACTGACACAAATAAGAAACTAGGGAATCAGCCTGCGCTGACCTTCACGCATGGCCTCGTCAAGCTCAGATCCCATCCATAAATGCTGTGTCTGGTCCAGCTTATCTTCCACATCGGTGAACTCTTTGCCATGAACAATGAACGACTTCCCATTAATCTTAGGTCGAATCACCGGCACCAAGGAGGCCTTGGCGACATCTTCAGGCGTATTCGCTGGTAAATCGCCCCACAATCTCTTGATGTCCTCCGGTACCATGGCAGTGACTTGAGGCAAGGGTTACCAGCAGCTTTGGGAAAAAGGGCTTAAGTAGAGGGATCTCACTTGTGAACCAGGGAGCAATCATGTTGACGCTGATGTTGTGCTTTAGGAGCTGAGTTCTCAGCCCCCGCATCAGGCCTAAAACCCCACTCTTACTGGCGCAGTACGTATATAATGGCGGTGTATCGATGTAGCTGGCTACAGAGCCCATCAAGACAAGCTGTGATGCTTTATCTGGGTGCTTGTTGAAGAAGTGAATAGCACATGTGGCTACATACCATGTCCCGATTAAATTAACGTTCAGAACCGAGAGATCTGGAGCTGTCAGTGTCGACGTTGGCGCAGTGGACTCGTGCTTGTTGATGGCTGCGTTAGATATGACAGCATCGATCGGACCCAAAGTGCTATATGTTTCCTCAAAAAAGGAGGCAACATCACCCCAATTGCTAACGTCACACTTGTTGAAGAGAATGTTTCTGTTGATAGGAAGTGATTAGAGTCTTATCCATGATACCATGTACAAATATGGCATTGGACGCACGTTTTCAGCTCTCGTTCCAAATCTCGGCCCTTGGCCTCGTTAACATCACAGAAAGCTACTTTCGCTCCGTTTTCTAGAGGAGTCAGCCTACTGTAGATAAATTCCACACCATCAAAGGCAGACATACGGTGCGCGAGCTTAGCGGTAGAGCGGCCAATGCCTGTAGCTGCTCCCGTGATAAGTATCACTTTGCCACTTAAGCCTCTCAGTTCTTCGTCTTCAACCGAGTATTTCGACATGGTTCTTGTGTAACCGACCGAAACGAGTACAATGTCCTAGTTGTGATACAGGTCGTTTTCTTGGCGATCGTGAGGCCTAAAGACATTTGTTACAAAGCGAGGATCCAAGTGGAAGACATATACAGTAGAAAGTGGCTTGATTCTTCTAAGTATGGGACCCGTAAGGGGTCGTATCTAAATACCGTACGAAGCGGGCAGTCGTCTTGTAGTAAGCGGTCTCGTACGGCAATAAGTGGGCAGCGCCACGTGTGGCGTTGCGACAACATTAAACCGTTCTGATTCTAATTATGCTGATGACACAACGAAGCGATTTCGTTAGTCAAGACTTTCTCACGAATCCCTCCACCTTCTCTGCAAGTCAAGAATGTGGGGTTCATGGGGTAAGTAACATACAATGCCACCAAGCTGACAATGACCACCTGGATTCACCCTACATCACTACACTCCCCCGCATTTTGTTAGTCATTAGACGTTGAGGACGGCTGCTCTTCTATCAAGGGGAGTCAAATCCAATATTACTGTGTTCATAATGACCACTTAAGTTTACCCCACAGCATTACAGTCCCCCACAATTGACTAGCAGGTTAAGGGCGTCTATTTTTGATCAGAGGGAGGGGTGTTTGATTACGGGGGAATCGTAGACTCTGGTGAACCCGAGTTACAACAGTGGGGTTAATTCGACTCCAAGTTGACCCAAAGAAGTTGTCTTTTTAGCAATACTAGGGATAACCTTAGCTGGATTAGTACCATCTACTCATCAGTCTCACCTCAAATTCCACAAGACATACTACTCATTACGCTATCACTCCGGTATTTTCCATTATGCATCAGTCTGCGAAAGTCATCGTTGTCGGCGCAGGCCCTGTTGGCCTGTTCCTTTCACTCAAGCTTGCACGCCAAGGGGTTGATGTGCTGATACTAGAAGCTGAGTCTGGTATCTTGCAAAGCCCCAGGGCCACAACGTCAGGGATAACCAAACAGAAGTCTTGATAGCTCTTCTAACTGAGTCTGATAGTTACATGCCCATTGTATTAGACGAGATGGCGAAGGTGGGGATTGTCGATGACCTCGTCAAGGCAGGACACATAAACTACGAAGGCATTCAGTTCCGCCAATCATATGCAAGAGGCGGCGAGGTTCTGGGAAGCCTCAAGATGTCTCAAGTTCCCAAAGGGACTGTGAAATACAACTATGCAGGAATTCACCTTGGTCAACATCTGGTAGCAAAGATTATCCTCGAACACTGCCAGAAGCAGCAGTCCTTTCGAATCCTTTGGAAGCATCGCTTTGTCGGGGCCAACCAGACCAACAATAGCAAACCTGTTGAAGTACTTGCAGTTGGACCTTCTGGAGAGGTTGCCTTCACCTGTGATTATTTGATAGGTTGCGATGGTGCGAGCAGTGCCGTCAGGCGATCGTTGTGTATTCCCTTTGAAGGATTCACTTGGACTGATTTCCGGTTTGTTGCATCAAACGTCAACTACAATTTCGAGAAGTATGGGTTTGCGACCGCGAACATGATTGTCGACGAGGAAGACTGGGCAGTCATCGCTAGAACTGGCCCAGGAGACGAACCATGGCGAGTTGCATTTGGCGTCCCGGCCGACATCGTGGATTCAGACATCATCAAGCAACTCCATGAGAAGTACGAGCGTCTACTTCCAGGACCTAGACCCTTGGAGTACGATCTGGTGAATGCCAATCCGTATTGGGCCCATCAAAGGTGTGCCAAGACATTCCATAATGAGAGAATTGTTCTCTGTGGTGATGCTGCGCATGTAAGTCATGTTCAATATCGCGCTGCTTAGAATAAGCTGACTTTATTCGTCTTCTAAAGTCCAACAACCCAATTGGCGGACTTGGTCTGACAACTGGATTCCTAGACTCTGCAGCACTTGGGAATTGCCTTTTGAGAATTCTGATCCTCGAAGAAGAGGCCGGCCCGCTCCTGTCACGATATGGAGAAGTTCGAAAGGCAACGTGGCAAGAATTCACAAATAAGGCATCGACAGACTTCAAGCTACGTTTGCACTCCGATGATCCTGAAGTTGTCGCTGAGAGGGAGGCTTTTATCTATGCGCTGAATAACGACCCCGATGTGCATAAAAAGGCGGCGTCATCCATGAACGAAAACATTCAGGACATGTTTGAAGGTCCATTAATGCTGTAGAATAGGTTTCCGATGAAAATTTCCGCAAGCGTGAGCTTGCTTATTACATAAGGAAAGACTTTCCCTGGGTCGTATTGTGCACTAACTTGTCGGCCACTCCCGGTTCGTCCTAAAGATCGGAGTTTCGGCTCCTCCCGGTGTCCTTATAATGACATCTAAAATGTTGCTGTGGAGATACTGGGTCAAGGAGATGGCGATGAGCCAAGTTAATTGGAGAACTAGCGATACGAGCTGCTACATGCTAGGCTCTGTGACCAGTGGATAACGGGGGATACAAGGTCAAGATTCCGTGATACCGAACCGCCGGCGGCGGAATTTGCCAAGATCCGAAATGTCGCCATCTGCAAGAGACATGGAACAAGGTAGAGCTACTCTAAGCGAAAGAGATCACAGGAAACCTATATTTGCTGTCCAAGTCGACCTTTTGTTCTTCCATGTTCTCCGGTACTTCTTTCATGCTCTATTGCTCCTATCCAACGCCATGGGTATCAAAATCATCATTGTAGGAGGCAGTGTCGCTGGCCTTTCTCTTGCCAATATGCTAGAGAGATTCGACATCGATTACACGATTCTCGAAGCGTATTCTGAAATTGCGCCCCAAGTTGGAGCTAGCATCGGCTTACTTCCTAACGGCCTGCGCATTCTGGATCAATTAGGCTGCTATGAGCGACTCCGAGAGGCTGCTGGAAACTACTATCACAGGGTGACCTTCCGCGATGCGAATGGGAAACCCATCTCCTCAACGCCCGGACCTACAATGTCAGAAAGAATGGAGAAACAGTCAGTTGAATTCTTTGAAGAGTTTATGTCCATGACACTAACCAACAAAGCGCCGGATACGCGTCTTTGTGGGTAGATAGACAAATGTTACTTCAAATCCTGTACGACAACTTGAAACAAAAGGACAAAGTCCTCACGAACAAGCGCGTCGTCCACGTGGAAACCAGCTCTACAGGAGTTGTGATCACGACGGAAGATGGATCGACACATACCGGCGATATCCTGGTTGGCGGTGATGGAGTTCATAGTAAGGTACGGGAAGAGATGTGGCGGATAGCTAGTGTCTCTGATCCAATTGCATTTCCCCAAGAAGAGAGATCAAGTAAGTATCTATGGATTCCCCTAACGTTGCACTGACGTACCTACTTGTATTGGCGAAGAGAGAGGTACTAACAGTTATGCATAGTTGCACAATCGAGTATGAAGTGCATCTTCGGAATTTCTAGACAACCAGTAAACTTCCCGCCTGGTGCCACTCAGCAGAGCACCTTTTTCCGAGGCCATCTATACTTGGTTATATCCGCACCGGGAAACCGGGTGTATTGGTTCCTGTTCCACGAATTAGGAGAGACAAAATTCGGAAAAGACATTCCTAAATTCTCTAAGGAGGATGAGTTGCTCCTGTCGACACAACACCGAGAAGATCACATCACAGAAGAACTGACGTTCGGGGATCTCTACGACAACCGCATCAAGTCTACATTGGTCCCATTAGAGGAACATGTCTTCAGGCGATGGCATTTCCAGAGGATTCTTATTATCGGTGATGCGGCAACCAAGGTACGACCGTAAACCATGGACCCAGGACTACATATACTACAAAAGTGGATAGTTGTGCTAATAATACCATCTAGGTCCATCCGATCTCAGCTCAAGGAGGAAACGGTGCGATTGAGGCGGCAGCGAATCTTGTCAACGCCCTCACGCGTAACGAGATTCCAACGTCTCCAGACCTCCAACTCGAATTCATCGAAAAGGCGCTGAGTGAAGTATGCGCAATTCGATATGAACGGGCCTCCAGCATGATGAAGAAGGGTCGTCGGGATGGCGCATTCCTCTGCCAACAGCCGCCGTTTTCAGGGCTTATTATACATTACGTTTTGCCCTGGCTCGGGGATGACCTCTTCTTCAGGGAGGTTCTCAAGCAGTCTCTTGCTGGTCCACATATCGAGAAGCTCCCTGCACCGGAAAGACCCCATACGACGCCTTACAATGACGAGTTGCCTCCAATTTCTTCAAGGTACTGCTTGTTTGGTTGGACTACCGGGACGCTCTTAGTGGTGACTCTTGGTATGTCTCTATACCTAGCTCAAAGTGCTGGACGGTTGGTATGGGTGGCCAAAAGCCGCTAGTGGAATACATGCACAGGGTTCTTTTCTTACTTTCACTCGTTCAATGTCTTGCCGCTTCATTCCTTTTACATCTATAGTATTAGATCTATCCATAGCCAGTCAATGAATTAAGTGGCTATTAGTTTGTCCTAAGCACCTCGCTAGCATCAAGCTGGAGACTTGCATCAAACAGTCTATCATTTTAGGTTTGTGCAAGGAAGCGGATAGAGAAGTGAGGTTATCATTATCCAGCAAAAAGCGGGCACTCAGTAATCAAATTAAAGGCAGAAAATGGAATCATGCATCAACTTTTCTCTTGACTGAATAATCCTTCAACGAGGCCACTCCGACATGATTTAATCTCAGCATTCGAGAAGAATTAAAACCCATAGGATTTCCACCGGCTGTCGACCTTATCCTGGATATCTTGGGGGTAAGAACCTCGGAAAGACGCCGATTTCCAATTCTCTTTAGCTTCTGTGAACTCTTCAGGGAACATGCAACATCGTACAACCTTGAAATGATTTCTCCCCTTCCTGAGTCCCCGACCGACATATGGAATCAACGGGATATTCCCATACTCGTCGAAGAAAAATTCGTTCACCTTAGGCTGGCACCTGGTGGCTTCGGCCCAGATCACGTCGTTAAGATCAGTTGGGTCGATGTCCTCTCCGACCAGGTACACTTTAGGGATGTAGAAGCCTGGCTTCGAGGCGAAGACGATTGTGCCTACCTTTGTACAAAATTCCTCCATATCGGTCCTCAGGGCACGAAGCGCGGCCCAGTCTACCTGTAGAGCGAACCAGAGGCAGTGAGATTCAAACGGGCTCCAGACCATCTTGATGGGAAGGCCGGCGGCTTGGCAAATGTTGAGCACCTCGGCCGCCTGAGTCAGAGCCCACACTGTTTCGCTCTCCTCTGTCGCCCGTCCCGTGACGCAGATTGGCAAAATGGGATCCTTTCGGTATGTGATGGCATCAACTCGGAAGACAGGGGCAGGTTTAGGCACTCCTTGAAAGGCATGACCATGATACTCGACAAAAGGCCCCTCGTTCGCCGTCTCCGTCGCGGAGACAAGACCCTCAAGAACCAATTCGGCATCGCGGGGGATCCGAATCTCGCTAGTCTCACACTTGGTGACCTCCACTGGCTTGCCGATCAGGGCGCCTACAAAACCGCTCTCATTCACACCCTTCGGAATGGGCATCCCGCTCACTATGATGGCGGCAGGCGGTACCCCGAAACACAGGGCAAAGGGCATGTCCTCGCCCTTTTCTAGCCACGTATTGCGGATACGACCAATGTCTTGCGCGGACATTGTCGGGCAGACCATCGTCCGTTTCCCATTGACCATGCCGCGGGTAATGGACCAGTTGACCCACGCCCCGTCGGGGCTCTGCACAATGAACATGCCAAAGGTCTGAAGATAACGACCACCATCAGCCTCATGTAGCATGGGGATTGGAAGGCTTTCGAGGTCAATATCTTCTCCGGCGATGTTGAATTCTTTTACGGAGCCAGTTTCGAACTCGACTGGGGGGATGGGCAGGAGCCTTCTTGCTTGGTTGATTGCTTCGATGATGTCTCGTCCACTCGATGTAGACGGTAGCCCCAATGACTTCGCGATGCGGATGAAACGCTTGCCAGGAAGCTTGCTCGCTCCGACCGGCGCACCAAGAACACGAAAGAGACCATTTTCGGTGCGACCCTTGACGCATTGAAAGAGAGGGGCCTTGTCTCTGGTTTCGTAGACCTTTCGTGTGATGGCTGCTAGCTCCAGATGAGGATCGACCTCTTTTGTGATGCTTAGCAGGTCGTTCTCTTCGGCCAACTCTTCGATAAAGGCGCGGAAGCTGGCCGCGGATGATTTGGTGTTCTCAGCCTTTGAGTCCATTGCCATTTATTTGGATTCAAGTAGGAAATGATGGTTGAGGAGATGAGGTGTCGAGTTGAACGACATTTTTGATTCTTCAATCACACGTTGCCCGAGGGCATTTATAAGTCGCCGTTTGAACAATGCCCACATGCACTCTGGAAACTTCCTGGTCATAGAAAACACGGGCCATTTAGAGCGCCGGTAGAAATGGCTTAGGTTGAGTGTATAGTATGTTAATGGGGCTCAAATGTACTTTGAGCTTCACATAACGCCGAGTCCCAATGTAGAGGTCAATTCGTGATTGCAGAGGCCGAACTAGGTCCTTAGGGTAAACACACATTGTCTAAATTTTTCGTCGACCGAGTTTATCGCGTAAGAATCGGCTCAACTCCCGTAGCGTCGACCGGAAGGTCATCCGTCGCGAGATCCACAACATCTCCGGCGTCAGACATGATGCCTCCGCCGATTTACAATAGATCGAACAAACCCCGTAGCATTTACAGCACAGCCGCGTCTTATATCCGCCACTATTTCCATTTTTTCTCCACTAATTCAGAGGCCTAGTCGTCGTTTTTACGTTACTATTACGTCTTTAAGACAATGTCGGCCCCGGCGCGGAGCGGAACTATACGTGACCGCCGATGCTGTTGAAGATTCGCGCGTTCGGTTCTCCGTGTCTTATGGACCTTGGAACACTTACTGTGAATATCTTCGCGGTAGATGGCTCTAAGCCCTAAACCAGTTGTTTCAGGTTCAAAAGACAAAACATCAAATCTGGTGACTTTAGCTCTAGACAATCTTGGCTGTAAAAGTTGGATGTCATGCCCCTGTGCAAACACATCTTTTTGAGTGGTTCTTACACTGCCTCTTCCCATCGCAAACGTAGCCATACAGAATGACGATAGAAAGCATGAATACCTCACAACGAAAACGCATTATCGTCGCTCTCACAGGCGCAACTGGAGCTATCCTTGGAATCAAGACCCTCATCGCCCTCCGACGACTCAATGTCGAGACGCACCTCATCATGACCAAGTGGGCTGAAAGCACCCTCAAGCACGAGACAGACTACACCCCGGCGGCCGTCCGCGCCCTCGCGGATCACGTTCACAACAACAGCGACATGTCCGCCCCAATCGCAAGCGGGTCGTTCCGAGTAGACGGTATGATCGTGGTGCCTTGTAGTATGCGAACGCTTGCTGCAATACGCGCGGGGTTATGCGACTCGCTTGTCGCCCGCGCGGCTGACGTGGTGATTAAAGAGCGCCGAACGCTTGTACTCGCCGCACGGGAGTGTCCCCTGAGCGGAATTCACCTCGACAACATGCTCTCTCTGGCACGGAACGGAGTCGTTATCTTTCCGCCGGTGCCCGCGTTTTACCAACGCCCGGCGACGGTGGACGATCTCGTCGAGCATAGTGTTGGACGAATGCTCGATCTGTTTGACCTAGATACGGGGGGGTTTGAGCGATGGGGAGGTTTTCAAAGAGATTGATGGGTTCCGTATCTGGAAATCAGGAATGGTCGTTGCGGAAATCATTCGATCCTTGGAGTTAGTTATTTGCGTGGGTGTTCACAGCACCGAAAAGCATTGGTTTCGCCGAGCAGTTGAAAAGAAAAGGGACTGCAACTTTACTAGAGGCATGAGCAAGATGGTGCTCGGGATGCAAGCCACGTCGACCGCAACCTGCGCGGACCCAGGACACTCTGGGTCCTCTAAGCCTTAGGTTTCCAAGATCACGTCAAAGACCCCAAGGACAAGACGAAGTGAATAGAGTTTTTAGATTCATTGGAGCTATGCAGCAAGCATTCATCTGATTACGCTTGTGGGAAAGATGGTGAAACACCCTCCACTGAAGGACCCGTGGTGCGGCCCGCCCAACCACTCCGCTGATCGCCATGGTACAAGTTTTACAGCATCACGCAACCGATGGTCAGCCGCAAGGGGGCCAAATTCAGATCCAGAATCGAAAAGTTTGCGAGTGAGAGATCATGTAAACATTGTGCGTATGAGCTGCTCGATACGATCCTTGATCTGGAGACTACAGCTCGTCATGGGCTTCGCTCTGACTGAATACACTGACCCTATGACTTCCACTCTGTGAAACAAAAGCATCCAGCTGCTCGACTGTCAACATTTGAGTAAAGTTGCCCGCGAAAGATACAATGTCGTTTGAACCGGCGCGATATAGCCTGATTGATGGATATGAATCTATCTCGATTGGCACATCGTTCGCGTCGACATCAATACTTGCCAGCGCGACTTTGTCCGACAGCCCAAACTCGGTGTATTTGAAACCAAGCTCATTCATTGGAGTACGCAGACTGTTTGGCTTGTAAGTTCTGCATTCGATAGCACACAGATATGATCAACTTACTCAGTACAGTATTGACACCACGGCACGTAGAACTCAACTAAGACATCTTTGGACTTGTCATAAGCTAGGTCGTCGAAGGTACTGCCAACTAGCGTTGTCAAGAATTGGTGCGTTGTCGAGGCTCCAGGCACTGGTTCTGACTTGATGGTAGGCACCAATGAACCAGCCAGGTAAGCAGCAACATGTTTAGCGACCCTGTTGGCGTTGAACACCTTTTCAGACATAGGATATGCTCTCCCCTGTTGATTTGCAATGGAGAACCCACGCTTGATGTCCTTGCTAATATGCATTTGCTCACATCTTTTGGGGTAATCTGGCGCAAACACCGTCACGAACGTGAGTTGATCTTTGTACTTCTTTGCAAGCGAAGCCAGTGACTTGACAATCTCAGCCCGATCATCCCGCTTGCTGAAGAATACTTGGGCCAGTGGTTTCTCGTCCTTGAACGGTTAGTCCCTATCAAACATTAAGCGAAGAAGGACCCACCTTTGTTGCTTCTTCATGAAGGATGGGATCGTATTCGCGAATGAGCGGCTGGGTTGCATCCTGTAAATATGCCTCGATAGCTGCGACGGTAAAAGGCCCGCGATAATAAACTGGATCCTCTTCCTCTTGGGTATAGACGGCGATGGAAGGGCCCTTCCCGTCTTTCTCTGGGCTATGAAGATTACCAAAACTGTAATGCGCTCGCCACTTAGTAGCAACAGCGTGAAAGGTCTTGAGCTCAGGTTGATGATGCGAACCAAAAAAGGCAACAACTGTGACTCGAGATGAACGCGCGAAATGGAGAAGGTTCTTTTCGGTAAGCTCCGTAACTGGAGAACCTGATTGCCGTTCAATATACTTTACAACCCTGCAATGATGATCAGTGATCCACAAGCCATGTTAGAGAATTCGAAAAAACTCACGATGACGCGTCTAAAGCTTCTTTGTAGGTAATCAACTCCTTGTTGCCGGTTGTGAACTTCAATGTGGGAACAGTGAAGACCTCAGAGTCATCGCACACAATCGGCTCCTCATTGCAATTGACAGAAGCAATAGCAGTCTTGGTAAGCGTTGGAGACACCCTGTCAAGGACTCCTTGCACTCTGTCACATTCCTTGCAACCGTCCGCTGTGAACAAGATAAGCGCCGGCCTTGAAGATATCAAGACAGTGAACTCTGTTCCAAGGAGTTTGATGCCTTGTGTCGGAGCAGCAAGAGCAACGAGTGATAGGAGTGTTGAGGATCGCATCATAGTGTGTAGAAAAGAGTTGAGTATCAATTCCCAGACTGGAGGGCAGGCCCAGATCATTTCTGTTTGAAGAATTTATTATATCAACAGTTGTTCAGTATCATAAACTCTCCACCACAGAACTTCGCCTGTTTAAGCCCAGATCGTCATCCCGCTAGCTTATCATGGGACCTCATCTCGTCTAGCCATTGTTTAATTTCAGCGCCTCTCAAAAGGCTTAGTTCATCTCGACTGTCGAAGGCCTCCGCACCGCGATATTGGCCAAGCCGCTGAGGCACAGCCGAACCCTGCCAGTTCTAGAATGTTTTATCGAATTGAATGATGGATCCCTCGACAGACGAAATAGTAAGATGACCTAAAGTTTAAAAAGACAGTTCGTAATTATGATTGGCTCATCGTGCCTCTATCTACCAGCTCCACAAAAGGCGTGAACCTTATAGACAACACAAAAAGATATGCAGCGACTAGTCGACGTTGGAACCTGAGTTGTGGGAACATTTTGAAATTGGGGCTGCGAGCTTTGATAACATATAGTGGGTGCTGACTCGCTGAGGGGATGTTTTTTCTCTTTCTTCACCAAAAAAAAAACTCTCTGGTCCGTGTACTCGTGTAAATGCTCTCCTTTCCAGGGTGGCTCGTAAAGTCATGTTATCTCTTTGGCACAACATTTGACGATGATCTCCATCCAGCTTCTTAGTTAGGTCAGGCACATGATCAGGATAGCTTGGCCTGGTGATAGGATGAATGATGCTTATCATAGAGAAGTTGTTTGTCATAGGATACGCAGAAGACTGGTGATACTGTCGTGTGAGAGACGGGTTGTGGTACAGATCAGTACTTCGTATATATAAGTCAAACCCCCCACTTCCTGGCACCCCCCTGTTTCTGGCACCCACAAAAACGATGGGATCACAACCCAACCTCCTCATTACTATTAACTATTGATCCTCAACCACACCCACTACAATACAACTGCCAGCCTCACTAGGGCATTCAGAGTCGCTGGATTCAGCCGTAATAACCTCCTTTTCACCCGCTTCGATTTGAGCCCGATGGATATCCCTGATGTTCGCAAACTTCGTGTTGGGATCGATCTGAACAGTCTTCCTCTTCCTAACTGCAGCGTTGGTAACTTGAGCCCTCAGGTGAGCCAGCTGCTGCTGGGCAGCTGCCAGTTGCCAGGCCTGCTCTGAAGCCTTTTTCACCTTCCTGAACAGCAGCCGTTGAGTGCTGGTATCATTGTCGAGTTGGGTGTATAAGTGCAGTTGACCGCTGAGCTCTGCCAGCTTCCTGGGTGTCGACCAGACCACTGCAGAGGAAGCAGAATCCCATGGCTCAACAGGGGTAGTTTGTTGACCATTATGGCATCGCTTTTTGCCCCGACTGGTTGGTTTGGTGTGGTGGGCTTAGCAGAAGGCTCAGGTAATACCATAGGGTTCATCAGGGGCTTAACCATCGCTACAGGGTGTAGACCAGTCCACTTCCAACCACTTCTGATGTTCGAGACTGATAGACCAGCAAGTCGAGCCTTCTGGTAACAGTCCAGGAAGTTCCTTTTACCTATAATGGTAGAGTCGTTCCATTGAGACAAGTAACCGAGCTCCTTCCGATAGGCTGACTTAACAGGGCTGAAGACAGACTGGTCAAGTGGCTGGAGGACATGAGAGGAGGTGGTAAGAACAGTAAATGGATATTGTTAATATAGCAATTCCACATGAAGTCTGTCGTCGTATGACTCCCATGCCCATCCACAATCAACAGTCGAGCCTCGCCCTCAGCCTCGGGCATAGTCTGTGGGATAAACACCTTCTCTAACCATTCAATGGCAGTTAAGTCTGTAGTCCAGCCATTATCTGTTGCTGTAAACTCCCACCCATCGTATGGAACCAGATGTAATGGAAACCACTGTTGTTGGACCGTCTTCCCTTGAAAATGATAAGAGGACGAAGTGCCCTACCCAAGGCTGAGATACACTCAATGATAGAGACCCATGCCCTCGACCCAGGTTGTTTCTTGCGAACAGACGTCGTCTCAGCCATGCCCAGCACTAACCCATTAGCTCCCTGACCCTCGAGGATGCCAGTCTCATCCATATTATATCTGTTGGCTGGTTTGATGTCCTTGATCTCAGGGATAGCAAGGAACTTAAACCAGTTCCTAATGACCTCAGTAGATGCCCCATTAACGCGTCTAGAATCGATGGAACGACTCTCTGAACCTTAATGATAGGGTTCCTTCTCACGAAGGCATAGATCCAGCCTTTTCCTAATGGTTTGGTATCCCCAGCAGCAGCCAGAACTCGCTCTGCGAATTCCTTCACCTGTTGGTGCGGTGCGAGGCCCAGCGAAGCCTGAATGCGAACCCATTGTGCCAGCCACTCTCCTGGTCAGGAGACAGCCTCTGCCAGTCAGCAAAAGCCACTTTCCTAGTCTGACCACCTTGGAGACGTAGTTGAGGGTTGATCGTGGTATCCCATACTCCAATGAGGCTCTTTGACTCTTGCCGTTTGAGATGTCCTCGAGAGCCTGACGAAGCTGATCTTCGGTATATTGAGGCATTAGATATAGAAGAAGGTATGTGCAAAAATGAGCCCATTTGAAAATGTTGTGATAAAAGGAGGTTGGGGGTGGGCATTGCGTTGTGGTGGATTTTCGCGTTTTTGTGGGTGCCAGAAACAGGGGGGTGCCGGGAAGTGGGGGGTTTGACTTATAGATGACTGAGTTCCACGAACTCTCCAATAGTCTCATCCCAGCCTCACTGATTCGAAGTTTCAAGCCTTTAAACTATTTGATCATGAAGTTCATTTCAGCTGGGCTTGCCCTCCTTGCAAGCTTTCCCCTTGCCTTCTCCATACCAACCGAAGCTCGGCCATCAAAAGAGCTCCAACCGCCCAAAGGTTTCGCCAAGATCCACGACTCTGACGGTGAGCACTGGCTCCAAGCCGTCAAAGCAGAAGCTGCCCGTCAGGAAGCCGCCGCCGCTTCTGTTCATAATGAAACCGAGGCCCTCGAGGCCAGAGACAGTTGGATCTACCAGGTCCACGGCATGTACACCGACAACCTCGTCAACGTCGGTGATGTCGACACCTTCTACATGCTCTGGACGCGCATGTACGACTCCAGCGATGACAGGGGCGGTCTCTCAGACATCACTCGCAACGCATGGAGCAAGTTCTGTAACAGCCCATACGGTGGGAACGGCGGCGTGACCACCAGATTCACTCTCGACGGCCAGTGGGGAGCCGTAGGCCGTCTCAGCGGCTGGTCGATGCGCGACGCCCTGATCCACTCCATGTGGGAGACAGCCAACGCCATTGGCAAGCACAACGGTTATACCGTGTATAACGGCTGCTATGGTTTCACCTGGCAGGAGGGAACGCCAAACAAAGCCGACTCGGCATGTGGAGGAAGATCAGGCAAGCCTTGCCCATACAACAAGGACTGTCCGTTGTCGGGCATGGAGTGCACTGGTCTCAAATGGGGCACCTGGCTTCCTAGCATCATCCGCATGAATGTCTATAACCGTGACGGGTCGCTTCGTGCTGATGCGTACCAGGCCAGAATCTCTTCCCAGGCTCTTGGTACCGGTGGTTGTTCTAAGGCCCAGTCTGTGTCTGCTTTTGTGGCTGACTTTATCCCCATTATTGGACCTTACTTTTCCACTGGTATTCGTCTTGACTGTTTGTTCAAGACCTAAATTTGCCTATTTCAATCATGTAACAGCTGGATTATCTTAGAAATCAACATCAAGTTTTAACGCTGTACTCTGCGTCCAGGTTTCTGTAGCGAGCTGTCTATGGCAAAGCCACTGTGTGTCCGCAGATGCCGTATGTCACCACAAGAGGATGACTTGTAGTGCGCGCATTTAGTTAGGAATTTCTAGAGATGCCTGATGTGGAGGGAAAGTAACATCCATTACTGAGGAAACGAGCAAGCTGGTTTGACAGCGGCCCTAGGGCAAAATCTCTTGGCCATAATGGGTTTCCTATCTTGGCTTAACAAAATGAAGCTTTGTCGCCCTGAGTGATAAGACATTCACTTTGGAAGAGGTATTTCTGCCACTCGGATCCCAAACTTGTTCTCTGCTCTTGACAAGAACAAAGCCATGCCAATGTTTGATCGGGGCGTGACATATGGGGGAGGTTCGTCAATTATGGTAACTATATGTTAAAAATAATATAATTAATCAACGGGGATAGTCATCATCGCGTAATATATATACTCAACCAAAATATCTCGCCCGCGGGAGCCAGATCGTTAATAACCAAGGTAGGAAGGTCTACAAAGCTCTTAATAGCGTTCCAAATAATATTCATATTAAGGATAGTAAAACAAAAATCAACCATTTAACACGGCCAATCTCTAGAACATACTTAAAAACAAACTCACAGCCGTTTCTCAAGCTCACTCTTTCAAACTAGGACTAAATATCAAAAGAATTAAGATACTTCTTTCGACAAAAGTTACAATTATTACACTAGCCATCCTCTATTTCAGAACCGCCATCTCTCAACAACCTATTCTTTAAGCAGACACTAATCGTGACGGCACCGTCAACGAGGCTAATAAGATAACAGGGCGTTCTAGACCCCATTTCGGGAGCAATCTTCCTCCCCCAGTATCGGCAACTCCCTTCATCGTTATGCAAATATCGACCTCCAGGGAATCCTTTAAGCAAACAAGGGCTCGCATCCTACAACGACGCCTTCAAACATCTACTCCTCAAGCCCGGCTTGGTCGCACCACTGAAGAAATTCCAATAGATATCGCAAGTAATATCTTTACTCACATTAACGCCACTACTGAAGCTGCCGCCAAGAGGGTACGCCTTTTTTATAAACGACTTTCCTTTCCGTGCGAAAGAAACCAGTGCGTGAAATTCATCACAGACACCTTGGAGTAGGACGGGGAAGTTACGGTTCACTTCAACCTTCACGTCAACACTTCTATCTTCTCCATTGCCGTCCAGCTCAAAGTCACGCCAGTCCTCACGCACCACCATCTTCAGCGCGTCAAGACCCTCATCAATGCCGCCACTAACGAGTCTAACCCTATACAGCTTGAATCCGTCCGTCAGCTAGACATAGGTCGCGCAGCCGCCGGTCTTCAGACGCCGCTTTACCTGTCCAACCGGAGTAATGACATCTGAGCACAGGTCTACATTGAGCCGGCGTATGCTACCATGTCGGGCCCGAACAGTGCCTTCTCCATCCGCATTATTCTTAGGTCAGCACAGTCAACCCGCACCGGTGGCCGTCAGGTGTTTGAGCAGCTTAGGGGCAAGGGCGTGGGCGGATTCCAGCCTAAGGAGGGCCATCGAGGCTTTAGACACCTTGAAATCAACTCATTTGAAAATCTGGAGACCGTTCCGCCGTACAGTTCCAAGAGCGGCATCAGGTACCCGGTCGGACGCATGATCCAAGTCAAGAACTTTGAGAAGATGCCCGCGGAGTCGATGACGAGGTTCTTTGATAGGTAGAGATTACAGAAGCCCCTCACACTTGAAACTGGTGGGCAGTAATTAGGCATACTAATAGGTTAATTCAATTCCTCCCGTCTAATAAAACAGGCAGACGTTGCGTTCAAAATCTCTTAGGATAAGTCGGGCTAGGAATTAAATCTTGTTTAGAGAGAAGAAGTATCGCTATAAGCACTATCCGTATCTCATAATAACTAACGAAGGGCGGGGTTTAAAGAGGCAATATTAAGCATAACTTCCCCAACTTACTTTATTACTTATATAACGGCTTTTATTTAGAGAGCTAGGTAAAGGCCTCGTAGTGTACTATATCTAAGTACCTACGCTATAAACGTATATACCGACTTATCCCTCTTATATTTATTATAAAGTAAATAAAGCTTATTTGAAGTCGATTGATGTTTATATTTTAAAGCTATGATGAGAGATAACTAACCTCTCGCTCTGTAATAGCGTAATAATTCCTATTTAATTACTAAGTCTAAAGGAGAATAAGTTTTACCCTAAAAGTTTAAATCTGGTAATAACTTCCCGTATTACTTTCGTAATAATACTTTAAGTATTATTTAGAGGCGATTTAAGTAGAAACGGCTATATAAACTATAAAATATAATCTGAGCTTTAAAATAATATTAGTTAAAGTTAAGTTAGTACTATAATTAGTTAGTACTTTTATTAATTAAAGACTTAGGGTTAGAGTTATATAAGTAGTTATTAAAATTAAATTATAAAAAGGGGTATTAATAAAATAATTAAAAATAATAAATAAAAGATTATTTTATACTACTTATTTATTATTAAAAAGTAAAAGCGGTATTAAATTATTATAAATAGCTTTATTAAAATTAATAAGAAGTATTATATACTTATTTATTAAAAATATAAAGTAGTTATTTAACTTAGTAGCGGTATTAAGTTATACTTTTATTATAAGTATTAACTAAAAGAGAGGTTTTTAAAATATTAAGGATTATTATAGCTATTTAAATCTAATTAATTTAAAAGTTAATATTCTACTTAATAATAATAGCTTAGTTATTAAATAGTTTAACGTTTTGTAAGGGTATAATTACTTTATATATTATTATTTTATTATAATAAAAATAATATTATATACTATTAATAAGAAGCTAAGTATATAATAACTAAGCTAAAATTAATAATAATCCGGTTATAAATATAAATATACGAGAAGTACGTATAATACTAAATTATTAATAATAATAAGACTAAGATAGGACTTAGTTTAGGTAATAGTAGTAAAAAGGATATTATAAAGTTAATAATAGTTTAGTATATAGCCGAACTTAATACTAAAAATATTAAGTAGTTAAGAATAAGGGATTTAAAAAGATATAAACTAAGACTTATTATAAATAAAAAGTTATTAAGTAGGTAAAATCTATTTAGGTTTAAGGAATTTAAAACCAACTTTTATTTTTTCAAAAAGCAATTTCTTTAAATAAATATTTGAAATTTTATTTCTTTTTTTTTTTTAAAAGAAAAAGACTAATATATTTTTCTATTTTAAAACTTTTTTTTAAAACTCTATAATTTTATAATTAAAACTATAGTTTCTTTATATATATAAAAACTTTTTTAAAAAATATTTTTAAATATAAAAACTTACCTTATTATGGTAGTTATATAATACTTTATTAATAAAACTTATATTTTATTTTATTTAAATAATTAAATTATAATAAAGTAACTAAAGAATTATAATAAATCTATTAATTTTTTAGTTATTAAGTAATAACCTAAAAATTAGTAATAAATTTATTAATTCTTTTAGTTACTAAGTACTAACCTAAAGATTAATAATAAATCCGTTAATTCTTTTAGTTATTAAGTAATAACCTAAAAATTAATAATAAATCTATTAATTCTTTTAGTTACTAGGTATTAACCTAAAGATTAATAATAAATTTATTAATTTTTTAGTTATTATTTAGCGGCAAAAGAATTATATAAAATTTATTAATTCTTTTAGTTACTAAGTAATAACTTAAAAATTAGTAATAAATCTATTAATTTTTTAGTCGCTAGGTATTAACTTAAAAATTAGTAATAAATTTTTTTAGTTATTACTTAGCGACTAAAAGAATTATATAAAATTTATTAATTCTTTTAGTTACTAAGTAATAACTTAAAAATTATTAGTAAATCTGTTAATTCTTTTAATCACTAGGTATTAACCTAAAAATTAGTAATAAATTTATTAATTTTTTAGTTATTACCTAGTAGCTAAAAGAATTATATAAAATTTACTAATTCTTTTAGTTACTAAGTAATAATTTAAAGATTATTAGTAAATCCGTTAATTCTTTTAGTTACTAGGTAAAACCTAAAGATTACTAGTAAATCTATTAATTCTTTTAGTTACTAAATAATAACCTAAAATTAGTAATAAATCTATTAATTCTTTTAGTCGCTAGGTATTAACTTAAAATTAGTAATAAATTTATTAATTTTTTAGTTATTACTTAGTAGTTAAAAAAATTATATAAAATTTATTAATTTTTTAGTTACTAGGTATTAACTTAAAGATTAGTAGTAAATTTATTAATTCTTTTAGTTATTACTTAGTAGCCGAAAGATTTATTAAAATTAAATATTTAATAATTTTAAGGATTCTTATTACAGTAGCTATATAATATTATTTAAAACTTATTTTTTTAATTATCTTTCGATAATTAAAAATCTTTTATTAGACTTAACTTATTTTAAACTTAATTTTATTTTTAAAAATTATACTTAGCTAATAACTAACTATACGTTACTAAGTAATTATTTTTAAAAACGATTTAGCTAAACTTATAGCTATATATAAATAATAGTTTTAAATAAAATATCTTTTTAAACCTTTATTTAAATATAACGAGGTTAGTTAAATTATACTCTTATTTTATTATAAACAATTTATTTTTAGTAACCCGTTTTTAATATAACGCAACTTAATTTTAAGATCTAGCTAAGAATAGAATACGAATTTTTCTAAATATATAAAAAGATTACTATTTATAAAAATAAAAATATCTAAAATTCTTTAATAAACAATAATTATAAGTATCTTTTATTATTATTTTTATTATTGTATAGGTATTAAGATATATAAAAAGTATTATTATTTTTTAAATTGAAATAATAACGAGGTTTATATTATAATAAACGCGCTACGTAAATATAGATTTTAGTAATTATATTATTATAAATATATAAATAGTAAATAGTAAAGCTATTTATAAATTATTATTAATTAACGTATCGTTAATTAT